ATCGCTCCCTTCTCCGCGCTATTCCAATTCAGTTGCCGCTATGTCTCTCTCCTTATTGCTCTGCTTTTCTGCGCCTTCTCTCAGCCAAATGTTCCTCACCTCCTTCAGGGGTTTTCCTCGTCTCCCGTACGAAGCTGTCAGTTCCACTTTTCGCTTCCCTCTCAGACTGCCGCCATCGCTCCAGGCCGGCCTTAAAGACTGGCTTCTTCTCCGCCAATTTTAAGAGTGCAGCTCCGGTTTGCTCGGGTGTTTGCGTTCCACCCGGCTTCTCTGAAGCTTCCTCTTTAGTTTACCAATCTCTCCGGGATCGGCAAAGCCCTTTCTGGGCTCTTAGCGAAGATTTCCCGGGATTTAGGAACAGAGATCTATTCCTTCACCCGCTCCACGATGACGTCACAGTCGGAAGTCAAGACCTAAGCATCTCTCAACCAGCAATAAGCAACCAGATGAGCATAGATTAATTCCAAGATTAACATCAGACCAATAATCAAATAAACAATAGCCCACTCAAGAAACTGACAAACAAGCCAACAGTAAGCAGGGGTACAGTAAACAGCTGAACCAAAGAACCTCCAAGACCACTCCCATCAACACTGACAGGGCAAACCACTAGAATATAAACTGAGAGCAAACCCCATTCCTTATTACTACTGATGATGTTACCTACTTTGGGTAATAAAACATCTACAAGAAAACTATCAAGTTCAGAAAGCACCAAGGACCCTTCACTTCAACTCTGAGCTAAAATATTCTCCTTTAGTATTTGCAGTATAATAAGACATGGGGTGTTTTCAATTTTCTTATTGCCACATGTATACGTTTGCTCTGCTAGGGGGGGGGTTATTTTACCTGCCTTGCAGGAGTACTGAGGGGAAGATATTAAGTCTTCCTCTCAGCCATGGAGCCATGATGGCAGAATGCAGAATTGCAGGCTAACTCTGCCCTCTGCCAGGAGTTCAATCCTGATGAGGCTCAAAGCCTTCCATCCTTCCAAGATCGGTAAAATGAAGACCCAGATTGTTGGGGGCAATATGCTGACATTGTAAACCACTTAGAGAATGCTGTAAAGCACCCTGAAGCCGTATATAAATCTAAGTGCTATTGCTATTGCTAAATCTAGCTCTAAAAAATGCTATTCTGCTTTTAGGAAAGGTTATATCTTTCAGGTATCTTGCTGGTTCTCATATACCACATCTAATCCAATTTTTGCTGTGGAGGGGTATCCTATTAACTTCAGATTGGAACTCCATATCTCCTATTCTGTTGAATACCAATTACTTGACTTGATCATAGCCTAGTGAGATTAAGAAAAATGGGGAAAGCCCATATAAGACCAGTTTGTGCTCTATTGCCTGCTTCCAGGGAGGATTGAGGGGTCAAAGCCACCAGGAAGAATGGCATTTTCAGTCAGAAAGTTATCATCTTCCAGGCTCTGACTTGAATTTGAAGAATTCCTGGCTGAATTCTCAACTATCCTGCTGGGTGCAGCTAAAATTGATTACAGGAATTTTGTTTGTATGGTTTGCAATGACTTTAGTTAAAAAAATTCTTCTTTGTGCCCTGTAGAGAATTGTGTCAATGTTTTAACCTCAAAAAGATTTAAGGCTGCAGGGACTAATAGTCCTCTACTTATATATATATATATAAAAATGATGACATTTGTGGACCTAAGGGCTCATTGCACCACGTTGTCCAGATGTGTCTTCCAAGTACTTATTTTAATAAATATGACAGAACAGAACACATAACTGTATCAATTGATAATAGTGGAAATGAAGAAAGTTTACTTTTCTATCATCCTCCCATCCTCAGAAAAATGACTCATAAGACATGCCTGTTTCCCAGATGTTTTGGGATTCCAAACTAGCTTTTATTTTTTAACAATTGCTTTATGGTTATTTAACTTAATAAATATATTTTGTTTTAGATATGCCAGTTGGAAATGATCAGCTTCTTGCAATTCTCAGAAAATTGATTAAGTACATTCAGATCAAGGTATGATTATTTGGTTGTGCTTTGAGGTAGAAAGAATACAGATCATGTTTATTATCTCTATTTTCCTACTATATTACCTCTTCCTTTCATTTATTATGATTATTAAATGTATATGCCACACATCTTGTCTAGAGGTGAAATATTTTAGCAACATTTAGAGCATATTCACTAAAAGTTAAGGGGAATTCAGTCTTAAATAAGATGTGGAAATCAGTTATCATCCATGGAATATGTGTATAGTTTTTCTGCCACAAAATATTACTTTGCAAACATTTTTATGGCCATCAGTTCCATCAAGGTGGACATATTTCTATGGAGATTCTCAGTGATCCAGGTCATGGTTGTCCCAAAGGTACTTTTTCATGAGGCAACTGGATTTTCTTGTTTTTGTCTGAAAATGTTTTGCTTCTCATTCAAGAAGCTTCTTCAGCTCTAATTGGATGGTGGGGAAAGGAAGGATTTATATTTCTTTCAGACAGCTGGTCATTTGCATTCTTTTAAAGAGTCATTGAGGCCACTTGGAGGTTTATCTGTATCCTCAGGGTCATCTGAGTAGTGCAAATGAGTGTGGAGCATTCTTGGAACTGCTGAAAGGACTGTGTTGTAGACAAGAGATAGATGATGTTGTATCTCTCCCCATCTGTTGAGAAAGGGCTGTTTAATTTTGACATAGACAGTCACTTGTCTGAAATGGTATAGGTTCTCCTGCTTGAGCAGAGGGCTGGACTAGAAGACTTCCAAGGTTCTATTCTATTCTATTCTATTCTATTCTATTCTATTCTATTCTATTCTATTCTATTCTATTCTATTCTATTCTTGGCCTCTTTGACCCTTTTTAAACCAGCGCTCCTCTCTGTCCAAAATATGGACTTTGTTGTCTTCAAAAGGGGCCAAAGAGGCCATCTAGAATGCAAATGACCAGCTGTCTGCAAGAAATATAAATCCTTCCTTTCCCCACCATCCAGTCAGAGCTGAAGAAGCTTCTTGGATGAGAAGTGAAACGTCTTCAAACAAAAACAAGAAAGTCCAGTTGCCTCTTGAAAAAGCACCTTTCAGACAAGTCTGACATAGATAATTACTCTTCCTCATGGCTGTGTTAATGAGCACTTTTCCTGTGATTGAAAAGTGTGTCAACATAAACTATGCTTCTCAGAGAGCTAAATTTTGTTGTACCTCAGTAATGCAGTTGGGAGCTACAGCTGCCCTTAGAGATTTAATGTCAAGAAATTTGAGGGCAATGATTGATGGAAACCCTGGATTCCTTTCCATTCCCATTCAGCATCACCTGGGAAAAAGAACTTTTTAGAAAAAGTGGGGGTATGGTTAGGATGCAGAGAATTCCGTTCCATTTTATCCATGTCCGTCTAATGCTTCAACGGACAGTTAGTCATGATGTGTTTTTTTTTCCCATAGGACCTTGTCAAAGGTCTTTCTTGTCAAAAGAAAAAAAAAGGAAACTTCCCCCCTTCTCTTCTTTCATAATATTTAAAATCTTTGATATGAAAAAGCACCAGTTTTAAGGAGATTTTCTCTCAAAGTTGATTCTGTACATCTATATTATTTACATTTTCACAATAAAATGAATATGGTTGGTGTTAAGTCCGGAGAATAATGGCGCTTGAGATGAAGCATTTCTAACAAGTCTTTATTCTCTGCTTCCATTCTACGAACAACCCGAGCAGAGGCACGCAGGCCTCTATTTATACCTTCTGATCCCCGGGCAAGTTCAACCAATCATGAGGCGGTCTTTTCCCGCCTTGCGCATGCGCACAAGGCCGGCGCCACTCAGTCTGGTCCCGGGCAGCTTTTGCAAATGCCCGGGACNCCCACACTAGGTGAATTTCCTTGTGGTTGTTGTGTGACTTCAGTTTGACTTTCCTGCCCGTCTCTTAGGCTTGAGAAGTCAGAACTCTGTTGATCACTATACCCGGTTGACCTACCACCAATGGAGTTTTCCAACCCCTCTGAACTCATCTCCGTGTTCCCTGACGGAGTGTGGTTTTCCTGGCTCCTTCCTGTAGTGTTAAGGTTTAGGGATGCCTCCCTGTTAGCCCTTAAGCGTGGGGACATCCTTCTATGAGCCATTTCAGCAAAGGATGTGTTTCCCCTCTGTTTTGCCTGCTCTCTTGCATGTTGTGAGTTGTGAGTATGCTCCCAGTGATTCTCCGTGTCTTGAGTATTGTTTGTGAGGTGTGGATAGTTAGTATCCCTCCGGTGGGACTCCCAGGCTGGAGTGTGTGGGGGGGTGTCTGTGTACCCCCGTCCCCATGAATTGCTACCTGAATCTCCAGTGGAACCTGGGTGTTGAGAGCCTGTGTCATTCCCCACAACCATTGTTGGCAGCAGATTCTGATTCTCAGAATGCATTTCCCATTCCTCCTCCCCCCCAGAGGAGACTGAGGAGGAACCCCAGGCGAGTCCCGCCTCACACGTAATTGATCAATGTGGCGGCGAAGAACACGGCCGTCTTCCAGTGACACCTCGTAGGACAGTGGCCTCGAGACCTTGCAGACCACCGCCGGGACCCAGAGGTGTCCAGGCCCGTAGTTCCTGGCCCAGACAGGATCGCCTTCACGCAGGACCCATGGTGGGTGTGGCTGGGACACCTGAGATGCTACACGCTCCGGATGCAGCCTGTCCAATTTAGTCACGAGCCGATGACCCCAACGGAGTTTGGCCTGGCACTTACCCGTGGCAGTGCACGGAGTAGTACGATGTGCCAGAAGAAAGTCAGCCAACCTGTGATGCCAATTGCCGTAAGTCAGCTTCTTGAGGGCGTCCTTGGCGACGCGGACCATCCGTTCAGCCAGACCGTTGGTGGAAGGATGGAAGGGAGCTGAAGCAGCGTGGCGGATCATGTTGGCCTGTAGAAATCCCTGAAACTCAGTAGAAGTAAATTGAGGACCATTATCTGACACCAGAACATCTGGCAGCCCGTGTGCAGCAAAAATGTTTCTCAACACTTGAATGGTTTTGGCGGCTGTGGTAAAAGACACAGGCACGACCTCCAGCCATTTGGAATGGCTATCAACAACAACCAGGAAGAATTGTCCCTGAAAGGGCCCAGCGTAATCTACATGTATCCTAGACCATGGAGTGTGTGTTTCCTCCCACCTGTGCACAGGGGCCTGGGGCATTTCAGGCCTGGACTGCTGACATGCATGACACCCATGTACCTGGGCCTCGATGGCCCGATCAATGCCAGGCCACCACAGATGGCTGCGTGCAAGCGCTTTCATCCTGACGATTCCGGGGTGGCCTTCATGTAATGAAATCAAGATTCTAGTCCTCAAAGAGGCCGGAATCACAACTCTCGATCCCCAAAGGAGGCAGCCGTTGAAAGTGGACAACTCATGCCTCTTGACCCAAAAACGTTGAAAATCCTCCGCAGGGCACCTATCAGGCCAACCTGACAGGACCCATGACAGCACGCGTTTGAGCGTGTGGTCAGTGGCAGTTTCAGCAGCCACATCCCTAGCATTGAGGGGACACTCAGGCAATTCCTGAATGGACAATATGTGTACAGCTGGAGCGGGATCAGGCTCCACAGTAGGCAATGGCAGCCTACTCAATGCATCTGCATGACCCATATCCTTGCCAGGCTTGTGGACCAGTAAATAATCATAAGCTGACAGGAAGATGGACCAACGCAGCATACGAGGGGACAGGATGTGAGGTGTTTGTTTGGATGTAGTGAATAACCCCAGCAAAGGCTTGTGGTCAGTAANCACGCACCCTCCAGCGATTTTGTACTGGCAGGATAACGCTGACTTCCACGCCGTTTTCTCTTCCGGACTTCTTTGGGTGAGTCTTCAAGCTTTCCTAGCTGTGTAGACTGGATCCCATCCTCGTCGCCAGTGTTAAGTCCGGAGAATAATGGCGCTTGAGACGAAGCATTTCTAACAAGTCTTTATTCTCTGCTTCCATTCTACGAACAACCCGAGCAGAGGCACGCAGGCCTCTATTTATACCTTCTGATCCCCGGGCAAGTTCAACCAATCATGAGGCGGTCTTTTCCCACCTTGCGCATGTGCACAAGGCCGGCGCCACTCAGTCTGGTCCCGGGCAGCTTTTGCAAATGCCCGGGACTCTTGCAACGTCCCGAGCCTGCTTTTGCAGGCTCAGGACACAACAGTTGGCATTTACTTCCCATTCCATGATTAATCTTAGGCATGTTTGCTTAGAGATAAATCTCATCGATGGTGGCAAATAATGGTAGCTCGGGTGTAGGATGAGGGTGGAGGTTCATTCTCCGAGCTTGTGGGTTGGTTTCTGAACGTTTTGTTACCAGGCTAGGCAATGTCTTCAGTGGAATTTAGGGGAAATTCCATGGAAGATGTTACCTAACCTGATAATAAAATATTTTGAAACTAACCCACAAGCTTGGAGAACAAACCTCCACCCTCATAAATCTCACAATTAATACAAATATATATATTTATGAGTACTGATTGGGTGTATGTGTTGACAAAGTATTTTAAATAATTCCCTGTCAAAAAAGAGGTCCTTTCTCTTTGTTAATATTCAGAATTATTTCTACTTCTTCCTTGTGGATTGCAGTGCAATTTTGTAAGCAATAAGACCTCCACAGAAGCAAGTCATTGCAAGCATATTATGCTTTGAAAGTAGGTGCTAATGATTGCGATCTTGAGTTTATACCTTGAAGCTGAGTGAGTCTTCTCTTAAGACAGGGGTGTCAAACTGCCAGCCCGCAGGCCGGTTTCATCATACTGAAGCCGCGCCTACCCCATTGCCGGCAATACAAAAAGAGTTGCGATACGTCACGACACGTCACAGGACTGGCGAGTTTGACACCCATGTCTTAAGACATTGCTTGCTTGCTTGCTTCTCCCCCTCCCGCCCTTCTTTCTATTGAGAAGGAAGAATTGCCAGTAACAACTCAGCCAGGATATTGGGTTATTAGTTTTGTTCTTTTCTTACACAAAAATATCAGTCGCCTGGGAGATCAAAATGCTATGTAGAAGAAGAAAGCTGTCTTGAAAGAGTTTGTATGCAGAAGGACATATGCCTTCTTCTTCATTCTATGCCATTCTACAGCCAGTTGGCAGTGAGTTGATTTTTGTTTTCTGCTAAATTTCAGTAATCCAGTGTCTATCCAACCAACCAACCATCTCTTACTGAAAGCTATTAAAAGAAAAGTAGAGTTCAGAAATGAACTAGCTGGGAGCTATGCATCCCTATGGTAGAGATAATCATACAGTAACTGAGAATCTTGCTGACTGCTCAATTCCTTAAGTCTCTGAATGCATGATCCAGAATAGAGCTACTATTAAGGACTTTGAAAAACTCCCAGAAGCCATTCTCTGCATGATTTCTCTACTTTGTTTATTTTCAGATTTTCATTAATCTTTTTGTGTAATAGAATTGGCCCACTTAATGCATTGTAACTGCACTGTTTTTATTTATTATTTATTTTATTTATTTTTTTGTTTCTTATAATACAGATGATTTGACTGAACCTTAAAAAAATTTTTTTCACAGTTTATCCGTGGTAGCACATTTAAAGAAATTCCACTAACATTTTACAGTAAGTAGTTTAAAGGCTAAAATGTTCGGTTGCAAATATTTACAGGCATGAAAAATCATTTGGCGGTTTAGATAAGGACAGTGTTTCTCAGCCTTGGCAGCTTGAAGATTTATGGATTTGGAATGTTTGAGGCATTCAAACATCCTGTTTCTAGTCATGATATGCTGTACATGGCAACATCACAGTGATCTTGTATTTGCTGCAAACTATCCTGACTTTATTTCTAGCCATTTGGAAAAGGAAGTGGTAAGGAAGGATGATGGGGAGGTGATGATGATGGCATGTCTGGGCCCAATTCCCTCAGTTTTGAATACATCAAAATTAAAAAAAAGATTGATGATAATCTCAAGACAAACTCAAATTAATTACAATGAAGCCAGTGAAGATTCACAAGTGCATTTTACACTCCTAGATGGCTATCACGGGATGAAACAAATCTTGTTTTATAATATAGAATGCTGGTTGTATCTCATTGGAATGCTTTTAGCTCCAAAAGAGTGTTTTCAAAATGAGATCTTTTGATAATTTGACTTGAATCATAATATCTTAATAAAACAGATTATTTATTTGCAGACTTTGTTATAAGGTTCTTAACATTGATCAAGTTAGTGAGTTGGGAACAGAGGGGTTGTATCAAGATCATGCAAAGTGCTAGTACCAGTTTATACTGCACTGGTAAGACCACATTTGGAATACAGCTGAAATAAGCACAGAAAATAGTAGACATTACTCCTTTGTGCAGCCAATGCATCATTGGTTGCCAGACTAGTAATCTGAATTTACCCCAGGATATGATTAATATTGGAGGGTTTTTTATTATTGCTTACAATACCATTGCTGATGATTCAACAACAGTCATCTACTTTATATACCAAGATTTTATTTATTCAACAGTTTTTATAATCTTCTCCAAACCATAGACATGACAAAGTAAAAATGCAAACTGAAAAGAAAGACATATAATTAACTAAAATCCCTCAGATGGTGGCTAGAAACATTTAACCCACCTTAAAACTAAGATATAATAGTGTTGTTTTAATAACTTTATGAAATGCCAGAAGGGAGAAAGCGGTGTGAACCTTCCAAAGCAAAGGGATCCAAAGTATAGAGACCACAGCAGAGAAGGCACATCTCTAAGCAGACATTCTTGTTATGTTATTATTAGAATGGCAGATTCAATCTAGGAAAGGTGGGACTTGAGAGAATTTGAATTGGGCCTGAAAGCCTACTAATAACCAATACTGTGACCTTTGTAGTGATATTACATGGCTATGAAGGAATTGTCAGTAAGCTAACTGCCATATGCTACACCTTCTGGTCATCTTAAAAAAGTCCCATGTTGAATGTGTTTTGAATCCAGCTGAATGATAGTCAAAGCACAAACTACTATTGTCAAGGGATCCTGGTTTAAGTACGATTATAACTTTCTTAAAATTATAAATTATGATGAAATTAACAAAAATAAAAATAAGCAATGGTAATACAATAAAATATTTCAAATTAAAATTAAACTAAACTTTAAAAAGGTACAAAACCTTAAAAGTTATTAAAATTAGTCCATTCACAAACATACTTCTCCATCTTTGTATATGCACAATATAAATAATATAAATAAGCACATATCTCTTTCAGTCTTTGACAACTGGAAAGTTGTTTTCTTTACACCCTATGTAAAATAATTCTCTTAATCAAACCCATCTTATAAGAGCCAAGAGCCAGGCCTTTAATCATCTTAGTTGATCTTCTTTGCACTTATTCCAAAGTCTCAACATCTTTTTTGTAATGTGGTGACCAAAATTGGATGCAATATTCCAGATGTGGCCTTACTAAGGCTTTATAAAGCAGTACTAATACTTCATGTGATTTTGATTCTATGCCTCTTTTTATACAACCAAGGACTGTATTAGCTTTTTTGGCTGCTGCCGCACAACTGCTTGGTTTGTATATCATTCTTTCCCCAAATATCTAAATATATATGCATTGTAATGGGCAGTGCTTTTTTTGTAAAAAAAAAAAAAAAAAAGGTGCCGGAACTCACACCTGTCATACAACCCTCCTTGCCTACTCTACAAGGTTCCATCCAAAAAAGGTGCTGGATTTCCGTTCTGGGCGTTCTATGACAAAAAAAAGCCCTGGTAATGGGCACATCAACTGAAGATGACCCAGGACCCAGCCATAGCCTAAACTTACTGCTTTAAGCATTTGATATGAATCCAGGAAGATCCCTCAATCATGAACCAATTCCTTCATAGGAAGTGCAATCTATCTAGAGTTCCTGAAGTTCCTGGAAGTTTATTGACAAAAAAGGACTTGGTCTTTGAGGGATTCATTGTAGGTTTTTTTTTTAACTCATCTAGATCTAATAGTTTCCATATACTCATTGAAGTATGTGGTTTCATGGTTTCATGCCTAGGGTGGGATTATATCTCATGGTCTCCTGGTTTCTAGCCTGATGCCTTAACTTCTACAATAAACAGGCCTGAAGTAGCAATGCATAATTGAATATTATCCATATATTGATGACATTTCATCCTAATCTGCCAGAATTATTCCAGTGGCTTCATATAGATGCTAAATAACATGGGGAAGAGCATTGAGTCTTGTGGTATCCTGCATTGGAGCAACCATGGCTTTCAGTATTCCCCTGCCCCCCATAATTGAATCACCATGAGTGAATTAGGTGGCCAATAAATAAAAATATTGCAGACTGGAATTCCTCATTCAGAGAAGCAGAAGGATAGAGCCTCAAACCTCCAGCTCTTCTAAGCAATTTACAGGATGCCATGGTTGCCAGCTGCCTGGTAGGTCCAAGAGAGGCATGCTTCCTCATCAATGTCCTAATGAAGATATATGGATGGGTCTAAATCTTGACTGGCAGAAATCCAGATAATCCATTTCTTCTGATCTGAGCCATTGTCATCTTCTCATCCACTTTTTCTAAAAAGGGAAGGCTGGAGACCGATAAAAGTTGTCAAAGCTAAGTTAGGGAGAATGTCTACCAGAGAAGGTGACTAGATGTGCAAACCTCAAGTCAGCTGTGGAAATGTGTTGGCCATATTCTGATCACATGTGGAAAAGAAATATTTTATTTTTTTCCTAAACTTTAAGGTGAGAAAGGGCATAATGAAAATTTCAAACAAAACTCTGATATATTTTTTCTTCTCATATTCTATATGTTTTCAATATGCCATGTATTTTAAACATATTTGTATGGAAAGATTCAAGAGATTTTATAACTACCATGGATAAAGGAAGATAAAATCCTAGCAGAATTAGTTAGATAACTGTGTTTGTTTAAAAGACAAAAATCACAAGTGATCAAACTATTTCTTCCCACAGATATTAAAAAAATTACAAAGATAGTTGGCGGTTCCACAATTCGAAAGGAGATTGAAGGTGAGCTGTGTGAAAGAGAACAAAGAGCAACCTCGCCAAGTATCCCTACTGGAAATAGCATGTAATACTGTAATATCTTTCAGTAACAGTTTGTTCCTATAATCAATTATGTTTTAATGAAAACTTTTACAAAATCTATAAATTTACTTAGAACTGCAGAAAAACCACATAGTCAAGGAGGAAGAATCAATCTATATTTTTCAGCAGAATTCCTATACTCAATTTGTGATTGGAGAAAGAAGAGATTGTGTGCTTAGTAGTAATATCACCCCATTATCTGAGCTTTGCTTACCCAAAAAGCAACAGAAACCAAAATGGGGGCAACTTCCTTTCCTAAAATAATAATATATTGTTTTGTTGTTGTTGTTCATTATTCTGCTTGATTTATTGTTTAAAAAGTTGCTTGAACATTTGAGGCAGCTTATAAAAAATGACAAACAAATAAACAATATCAAAGTTCAAAATGGCAAATGAGATTTATGATTTGCTATGGTTATATCAAATAGCTGCAAATTTGTCAATCTGCCCATTCATGCAAACATCTATGATATTTGCTTACATAATATGCATTATATCAAAACAAATAAATACCAATATAGGTTAAAGTATACTGTATGCCAACAATTTTTCATATTTCAAATCTGGCCACCCAAGTTGAAACCTCAGTTTAATGCTATCCTCTGATTATGGTATGACTATATTGTTCTGAATATACTCTGTTAAATTCAGAAGCTTTAGAACTAGCTCTGCAGTTGATTCCTAGGCATTATGTTTTCAAGAGTATTTTTCTCCTAGATATTTTGAAACTTACCTAAAATGTATATCATTTTCATCACATTTCATGATGTTTTAACAATGCTTTGCAGTGCCATCCATCACAAAGTTCACCAAAGTGATTGAAGGGGAGCCAGAATTTAAGCTGGTCAGGGAAGGAGAGACAATAACTAAAGTGATTCATGGAGGTGAATATATTTTGTGGTCTGGGCAGTACTAACTAGAAGGATTTTGAAAAGAGTTCCAAATACCAGTTCCAAAATTTAGATGCAAGTGGGAAGACTGGGTCTTGCAGCTATAGATTTGCTTTTAGCATGTTTTAATCATATATATTGCATCAGGAAATTAAATGTTTTAACTTTTATTTCTTTCTTATTAATGCAAATAAAAGAAACCATTTTTCACTCTGCATGCTAAAAGGTTATTGAACTATAAACCTAAGATGCAATGTAGCTATAACACTTGCCAATTCTATTAATTTCTTAATGATTCAATCAATATTTTGATGACCTTCAACTGCAGAAATATCAAGAAACATGATATTTTTGTTATTCAAAGCTCTCAATAAAACTGTAAGACAACAAGCAAAAATTTCAATATATGTTTTAAAATAACTAAATATTTTTATTCAGATTTTTTTAAAAAACACAACAACAACAATTTTAGTTTGAGATTGAAGGTATATAGTCTTGGAAAAATGGCATGCTCTTTTCTTTTAAGTGAAAACATTTGAATTAACTATTTCTAACATTTTTGCCACTGTCCAAAGGTCCAAAAGCAGCCCAGTGCATTGCAATGATTTTGTCATTTATTTAAAAATGTTTTCTTATAGAGCCTAAAATTAAAAAATACACAAAAATAATTGATGGACATCCTGTGGAAGTGACTGAAAAAGAGGTGACTGAAGAAAGAATTATTCAAGGTAAAATTCATTTAAAGTAGTTTCACTCTTAAAAATTCAAATTTCATACTGACCTGTGGTGAATAATATGTACTATTTTAAATTTTCTTGTAAATTCTGATTCTGGGACATTTGTATTTAGTTTTGGCAACAAAAATAGTCTCTCTGATGACTGACAGTACAACATAGTTTCAGGCACAAGAAATGAAACTTTAAGAAATCTTCAGTCATCCAACTAAAATATCCTAGATATATCCTCTGCTCTCTATACAAAAAGATGTAATTTGTGCTCAAAGTTTCCTTTACTTGTATGTGCTCCTCTTACTGTTTTTTATTTTACTTCATGCATGTTTACAGCACATTCAAATCTCAGTGAAGACAGCAGAAATTTAATCTTTTATAAATAATGCAATAATGAATTCTATATGGACATCTTTCAGCAATTCATTTACTTAGTTGTCACAAGTGTTCATCCATCTTTTGAAATCTCAGTGTTTTTATTTTACATATGACATGCCAGTTACCAAACACATCACATATAATATAATTTTATAATCACATAGTATTAAGGAAGATCCTGATAATCACAATATAACATTAAGAGTACAGAAAAGAAATTATAGAAATTCCAAGTGAAATTGCTGAATCTTTTTCAGGCCCTGAACTGAAATATACTAGAATCACTACTGATGGAGGAGTGGATANAAGCTTGTTCGTTATCTGAAATGGCTACATTTATGAAAATTCAACAGTACGAATAGAACAGCACCTGAATTCTAAACTCAATTTAAAGCCTGCCTCATTCATACAATATGTAAATTTTATAAATAATAATTAAAAAAGCAATCTCAACATCACTTACTATACTGAATGTTGTCAATGGAAATCTTTATAACATAAAGATTTTCAGCATTCATATCAATATTCAAATTGTCTGCTATGAAGTTTTGCAGAACACAATTACTTTCAATTGAATTTTACTGCAAAATTAGTCAAATACTAATTATTTATAAAAAATAAAATAATTATAAAATAAATTTATTAATTTACTGTAGTTATATTTTTCCCATATTGTCCTATACAACAATTTCATGCCATGAATATATGTCCTGTCAGAGATTACCAAGGTGACTAAACTCATTGAAGGTGATGGTCATTTACTGGATGATGAAGAAATCAAACGATTCCTCCAGGGAGGTTAGTGAGTGCAAGAAAACTAATTTCATCCTAATGAACTTTAAGAATTGACAAGCTGATGTCTTAACTTTTTAAAGACTGATTCAAGTAAAGAAAAATCTATGGACCAAATTTCAAGGATTGTATATGAAAGCAAGATATTTGGGTATTCTGCTTTCTTCCACAAAACCATACTGAGGAAAAATATTTTTTTTTGTTTATGTTCAGTCTTTAAACAGTTTCAAGTGAGCACTGAAGATTCCCATCCCCATATAACCTAATACATTTGGAACTCTAAGAAATATTTATAAAAACATTGGGAAAATTCCAGATCTTTTCCCTTATTAATTATAATGAATATTCATTGCTCATAAGTTAACAAAGGCATGCTTAATATTCTTTTCAATCATCTACAGATTCTATGCTTTAAACTTACAATTAGAAACTTAATAATTACAATTCTTTGCATATGAAGAGTATCTCTTAATATTGAGCATGTTGTGTCAGGTTTTTAAGTTATAGGTTAATTAACTAGAAGAGCTTTAATTTTTCATTGCAATAAACATCTTTTTGCTATGGCTTGGCACTATGATTCAACAAAACCAAAGTCTTCAGGCAATGCTCAGTATAGCTGGGGTAGCAGCTAGGTTTATTGCCAGATATAGCAGTATCATGAAAACTATTAGCTGACACAAAGACTACAGGTAAATGAGGAGTGACTGATAGTATTGAAGAATGATTCAATTCAAAGAATGAAAACATGTGGACTACTCCCAAGAAACCACTTTTGAATAATGGTCTTCCAATTCATAGCAAAGGTTTGGTATTGCTATCTCTCAAAGGATGCTGTGACAGTACATGCTGCTTCATTCCCAATCTCAACCAGGCATACAAGGAGGATTTTACTTCCATTTTATGGTTAACTTTCTTGGTATTCCACATTTGAGAATATTAGCCATCATAACATATAAGGATTTATTCTATTATATTGCCAAAAATGAGATCCTGGTCCTTAGCTAAAGTATTCTTTGCCAAGAAAGAACTAAATCATCTATAACTTTTAAATCTATAATGATTACTTTATTCATCTTTATTACTTTAGAATGCCTTTACTTAATCGGTAGATTAGAATTATCCAAATAGCTAGAATGAAGAACAGAACAAAATAATAGAGTTGGAAGGGACCTTGGAGATCTTCTAGTTCAATCCCTGCTCAAGCAGGAGACTCTATACCATTTCAGACAAATGGCTTCCAGTCTCTTTATAAAAACTTCCAGTGATGGAGCACCCACAACTTCTGAAGGCAAGCTGTTCCACTGCTTTATTGTTCTCATTGTCAGGAAATTTCTCCTTAATTCTAGGTTGCTTCTCTCCTTGATTAGTTCCATCCATTGCTTCTTGTCTTGCCTTTTAATTTTTAAAAAAGGAAATCAGTAATTTGGGCAATATTTTCTGAAGCCCTTGATCTTCTAACCTCATGCTAAAGTTAAAATAATGTATAACATTATTTTTATACATTAAAATTATTTATGTACTTTCCATCTCTCAAGATTCCTGGCAGGTTGCAGCATTAAATTACATTTTATACTTTATGCATGTTTACAGCACATTCAAATCTCAGTGAAAACAGCAGAAATTTAATCTTCTATAAATAATGTAATAATGAATTCTATAAGGACATCTTTCAGCAATTCATTTACTTAGTTGTCACAAGTGTTCATCCATCTTTTGAAATCTCAGTGTTTTGATTTTGCATATGACATGCCAG